AAGTGTTTTACTGTTCTTGCTTTGGGTTGAAATTAACGTTAAACAGCTTGTTGGCATCTCTGCGTCCATGTCCTTCCTGCCGGCTACTCAAACACACACACACACTTAAATACAGGGTGATTTTGCCATTTATTGGATGGTTGTGCTGAATGCGTTTGGTGCTTTGATGTAGTTAAATTTAGCTCACTTGACTCCTGCTGTCACCGTTCAGCAAAGTAAACAAACTTTCACTTTAGTTAAATGTTGGGTACATTTTCTGATACTTTCACAGCTGCATGACATAGTTATGTCTCCATGGCTGCCTGGGCCAACCATGGAGACATAACATGGAGTTTTGAGTTACATTTTTCAGTCAATTGCATGATTTTTCATCAGCACATTAAAGGAAAGCGCCCCTCCAACCCAGGCGCAAGACACATAAAACTCTTAAAGGTTCTTGACTAAAACTTGATTGTAAAGCAAAGCTATGTTTCTGTTTAAAGAATCCCGATCAATCATGAAACAGGCCACAATAACGCAACGGGACCACTACGCACAGCTGTGGCTATTTGTAGAAACGTTATTATCACATCTATTTGTAAAGCATCCGACATGTATTTCACTCATTATTGCTGAATGTCAGAGAACATGTCAATGATTTATAGAGCTCATATACAAACAGACTTAACAAAGTGCCTCATGGTAAATGATAACATGAACATGAACATTGGGCTGAGCACAAATCGTGTCCAATATCAACAGCCCTCTCTGGGACACCGGGCTGGTATTTACAACATACTGGATAAACAGTTGATAACAAATGTGCCCAATATAGATAAATCCCAACTGGGGACAGAACGTGACTATAGGAGTCTTTGAAAGTCTACAGATACAATAAGGTTTGAATTTAATAAAGGAAGCGTTCTGTAGAAAAATAGTTTACAACACATCAGGGATAAATCAGCCTGAACTTCCTGAAATCTGAGTCTGGTCTCCTTCAGCTGTCCTAAATCTACGTGTTGTGCAGAAAAGAAAAGCAGTGACTAAAACTCTGTTTATGAACAAAGATAGGATTCAGCTTTTGTATTATTTCCATCACATATGGATATAAGGTTGTGCATACATATGGCTCTGCTTACTTTACTACTTCTTGTCTACGAATAGATTGGCAAAGATGGATTGTGTTATGTTGGTGTTGTGTCGGTGTAACCTGACATCGGCAGACCAAATCGCAAATGCGAGTTAGTCTGGAACGTCTCAGTTCATCTTTGGTTTCCAAGGGGCGTTATCAATAACTGTTGACCAAAATGCCTCTGGGCATAACTGGATAGACCTACATCCAATAACAGCAACGAAAACAAGTGACGTAGTGCTGAGTGATGGATTAATGTAAACAGAATAAAGGGTGCAAACATGCCATTTTGCCATCAAAATTTGACTTCAGAAAGTTCCACATTAGATCCAGCCATCTTGGTTGTTTTTGAAAATGCCTCATTTGTACTCCTCTATAAGTGGCCGTACACGTGCCACGTCTCTAACTGCCTGGAAAATCCAAGGTCAGCGGTGGGTGCTTCTCTTGTGCCTACTCTGTGCCAACTTTCAAGAGGACATAGGCAGGTTGCGTCTGAGGTTGCTAAGCAACTATAACCAGCACCATATCATAGCCTATTTACCAGAAATCCAGAGTTCAGAGCTAATTTTCTTCCAGGCGCTGTTTTTAAGTGTGTATTAGGTCTAAAATATTGTCCCTGGGACGGATGTAAAGCTCTGGGTGGCCCCGCACTACAATGATCTGCCTCTTCTCTATATTTGTCACAGCTTGATATCTGCGGAAGAAGGCAAAGATATCTGCTGGCTGTGATTTGTTGTTCCTCATCTCATGACATGCGGTGCATGGAGCTGTGCTCCACAAGTTGAACTCTGTTCATAGCAGGACGGCTGTGTCCTTGCAAGTTGCAATTGAGCATGCCTGATGCTTGTCTACACTGAAATCAATGGATTTAAAGGTGCAATTTGTTTTTGTCATTTGTTTTTCGGCCCCTAAGACATGAACTGCACAAGCTCAAAATGACGTGTAAAGCGCCAGGGCTCCACAAGCTGTTAGTCACACCCCATATCAGAACGTCTGAATGGGAGGGCAACCAAATGCATCTGTCTAAGCAAAAAAAACATAAGCTCGCAGATTTGTCCGGTTCCATAGCTAGCTTCTGTGAAGCTCATGTTAAACTAGACTTTACAAATTGCTTCAAAGCACAATCAATGAAATTGGCTAACAACCTAAACAAAGATATGCTCCAGATATGTATCATTTAAATTTGGCTCCAGATGTATATACTACGGCTGTTGCGATAACAGCAGCACTGCATTACCACACTATTGACAAGCCAACCACAGGAGATGACAAGCAACCACCACTACTGCTATGTTCATTGTTTCTTTTTATAAGAGAGTGACGCACATTTACACTATGCTAGGTGTCTATTCGGCACTGAAAAACATGACCGATTGAAAAATATTCAGCTTTGGGTAAAATGCTGCAACTGCTTCTCTCTTTTTTCCCAGCTGGCCAATCACAGTGAAGGAGGGGCGGGACAAAAACAACAATGACCAACCGTCACATTGCGGAACAACAGAGGAGAAATGAGTACAAAACCCACACAAACCTGTGGGTCCGTGCTCTCCCCCTACGAGCCTTCCCCTCATCCCGCGCAAGTATTCTACCATGGATATTCTGTATCATAGCAACCCAACCTAACTCCAGGTACTCCAGCTTCCCCCCACAGTCCAAAGACATGCTGGTTAATTGGTGACTAAATTGGCTGTAGGTGTGAATGTGAGTATGAATGGTTGCTATCTCTATGCTGTAGCCCTGTGATAGTCTGGTGACCTGTCCAGGGTGTACCCTGCCTCTCGCCCAATGTCAACTGGGATAGACTCCAGCCCCCCCGCGACCCGTAACAGGAGATGCGGTTACAGAAAATGAATACATGAATGAACGAATCCTAATGAAAGCTTATTTATAAAGCACTAACAAAACAAAAAAGAGACAAAATGGTGGTAATACCACATATCGTGCTGTTGAGCCACCCTTAATCGCCACAGGGGAAATTCCTTCACCACAACAGCTCGAGTGTCTACAGCTTTAAAGGAGCTATATGTAAGAAATCTAAAGCAAATAGTCGTAAAATCCTCCTAATATGTCACAGAGACTAAGGAATAATGTTCATATAACGTACTGATCTCACTGACAACAATAGTACAGCCAGAATATTCGCATTTAAAAAACATTTTTACAGTCTGCCAATCATGTTTATGTTTTGAATTTGTGTTTTGGCCTGTTGCGCCACCCACCGCCGTCTACCAGTCAAACAGTCAGTAGAGTCTCAGCATCAGTTACAGTTACGACTGCGCTACAGCAGCACGGCAAGCAGCATTAGCAGTGTCCTGGTACATAGCATTAGCAGCCGGCTTCTCCTCAGCTGTATCCCGGCAGCAGCGTTAGCAGTGTCCTGGTACATAGCATTAGCAGCCGGCTTCTCCTCAGCTGTATCCCGGCAGCAGCGTTAGCAGTGTCCTGGTACATAGCATTAGCAGCCGGCTTCTCCTCAGCTGTATCCTGGCAGCAGCGTTAGCAGTGTCCTGGTACATAGCATTAGCAGCCGGCTTCTCCTCAGCTGTATCCTGGCAGCAACGTTAGCAGTGTCCCGGTACATAGCATTAGCAGTCTCCTCAGCTGTATCCCGGCAGCAGCGTTAGCAGCAGAGAAGCAGGACTTGCTCGTACAGTCCACTGGAAAACCGAAGATCAAGGACGCGGTGACGCAACCCTGCCACGGCAGCCGACCGTGGGCAAACAAATCAGTCTCCAGCGTGCCGCTGTCCAGCAACCTCGAATCTGTAGGGGAGGGGGGGGGGGGCGGACACGACTCGCGGCAGTATTTTGAATTTGAGTGCAGTAACTGTTTTGGCCACATTCTTACATACAGCGCCTTTAAAGCCCGACTCATTCACAAACTCATGCTTCTGAATGCGATATTTTTATATTCCTGTCCAATTTAATTCAAACAATGAATCAAATACCAAAGCAACCACTGGGTGCTGATGCAAACAAATATGCTAATTATCCGCCACATTATTTGTAATTTTTATCTAGAAAATTCACCATTTTGAATAAATGTTTACTGCTGCGCAATGTGTAGGAGAACAACCTACATTACTAAAAAACTAAGTGAGAAGAAAAAGACAGCATGACCAAAAGACCTTTTTTATATGATGCCTCAATGCCACCAATTCCCTAAAGTGGTTCCCTCCCACCTTCATTATTTCTCCTGTGACTTTAAGTTTTTCCTGTCTGCGTGAGTGTCACAGTTGTTCATAGAGCCCCCCTGGAACTTTCTGAAATCAAAACCTCTTGGATTATTCCAAATAAACATTGATGGTGACTCGCTTTGCTCTTCAAAAAAGATCAAACAGCTGCTCTTACTCACACCTGTTCTCCCAGGGTGACACTGACGCACATACTGCTCTGTGCAATAACTATTGAAACGACATCTCACTCGTTCAGCAGCTCAAATGTGGAGGCATACGACAGACACACACAAAAAAAAAGAAAACAATCAGTGAGGACAAACAATGTAATCTCGGCTTTATGCACAAATGTGTCAGGTGCATGTGCATATTTGTGAGCAGGGAAACGGGGGAAAAGGGGGGAAAATAAAGCAGCATGGAAGGAGAGAGGGAGAGGGAAGGGTTAGTGTGTGTGAAATACTGTTTGTTTTAGCCACATTCTGTTGCAGCCACCTTCAGCTCTGTCTTTGTCTCAGCTCTCTCAAAGGAAGGTGCAGAAGAAAAGCACCCAAAACAGAGGCAGGAGAGAGGATGATGACTGAGGTCACAGTCCACGTAATTTTCTGAGACAAATAAGTCCCACTGGGAGACAGCCTTAATAACTCCACTCGTGTTTTATTTCCCTCGCAGCCTCCAGAATGCTGCGGGGAATTAATCAGGATAGTGTCTAGCTACCTGCCACCACGCTGGCCAGCTGCTGTGTCCGGGTGATGGGGTTGACACGGCGTGCCTCCACAATGGCTGAAGCTATTTTCCTGGCGTGTCTTTCTTCCCCATATGCAGTGAGGATGGATGCAAGAGCCTGTTGATCTAAGGTATTCACAACGTCAGCAGCGCAGGGCATGTCGGGGTACCTACGCACAAAGAGAAGCCCAATTAAGCTGCTTGACGTCACGTCCTTGCTGACAGTGGCGAATCCTGACAACTCTGAGCTACAGCTGAAAAGCTTTACGGCTGACAGTTATGAATAGAATGATTGTGAGGGGATGAAAAGAGAAATGCAGCTTGTGCAATAGCTTATAATGGGGTTATCTTAGCTGGTAGCTTTGCACATTATACTGACCTTGTAAAGTGATTCATATATATTTATGAATTCAGTCAAGAAGATATAAATTGCAATGCATATATGCCTATACATACCTATCTATCCATCCATCATCTATCTATCCATCCAGCCATCTTATATATTGCTCATATAAACATGCATCACATACACATGCATATACATAAACACGTGCATGCACAGAGAGATTTAGGATGATGCTGCCATAATTCAAATATAATGAAAATTAGCCACATGCTTTTTGTTATCTTTTTATTGCTGCAAAAATAATATTCACATTAAATTGTGGAAGCACTTTTGCATTTTTGCACACTTATTACCAAGATTAAAATGCAACTTAAAAGGTAAAGCTCGACTGATACAGGATTTTTGAGGCAAACACCTACAGCGATAATTCAGTTTAAAGGTCCAGTGTGTAGGATTTAGGGGCATCTATTGGCAGAAATGAAGTGTTTAATATTCATAACTGTGTTTTTACTGGTACATAATACCTTAAAAATAAAAATTATTGTGTTTTTGTGACCTTGGAATGAGCCGTTTATATCTACATACTGTGATAGCCCTTTACTACAGGTTCGCATGTCCTGGTAGTGCTGTTTTCTGATTGTGTTTTGCAGGTACTAAATGAAGGTGTCGTTAGCTGGACGAGCTCCACCTGAGCCCAGTGTGCTCCGCCCTTAACGACCTCCATTCTTTCGCAGTCCCCCTCTCTCTTCCCTCGCAGGTGCAGCTGCTGTTCTTTTGGTTACTACAGACGTTTCCACACACCCATACGCGCCTACATTTCACATTAATTCTGTTCTTTATGATACTTTATATAAATAAACATGTTTTAACTCTTTTGTAAAGGTGCCTTTGAGCCAGGTTGTAACAAGTGGGTCCTCTTCTACAGAGTCCACCATGTTGTTTCTACAGTAGCCCAGAATGGACAAACCAAACACTGCGTCTAGATAGGGCCATTTGCATTTTACTGTTAGCTATTGTAGTTCTCCTTAATGCTTGGCACAGAGGAGTTTGTTATTTCAGTTCTGCAGCCACACCGCAAAATGCCACTAAATCCTACACACTAGACCTTTAAAAAAATCTGTTACTAATATATCAGCCGAAATGTATTCATCTAAATACACACAGAACAAAAACTTTTTGATGAGGATCCATTAAACGAAATCAAAGCAGGACATTTTACAGTTGAAAAATAAACTTGCCAGTGCACTCTGGTGGACAAAGTTTTAACTTTATATATCTACACCATTTCTTTTTATATATGGACCAGTATATACACCAATATGGATGGATGGATGGATGGATGGATGGATATAAACATACATATACATACATACAAATTTGCAGCATTTGTAGCATTGTATTATCATTTTTGTGGTCATACATCCTCTGTCATTAATTCAATTTCTCATTAGCATTTTAAAGGAACACTTCAGCTGTGTTTCCCCGAATGTGTGAGGAAAACTTTGTTTTTCTTGCATGTCTGCACAGTGAATGAAGAATCCAAAAAACGAGCTGGTAGGCGGGATTTCAATGTAGTGCAGAGCAGAGTTCAAACACACATGCTTCTTCTTATGTGCTACTGGTACGTGCATGGGACTGTTTATGCAGAACTCTTTTAAATAAGACGGGACGTTTTAGTGACCATACCTGTGTTATAGAAGAACTTACTATACGACTGGATATATGAAACTTGGATAATACTGCACGAGTTTGTAAATGCATGAGTATATACTGATTTTGATATGGTCTTGCTATTGTTAAATGCCGTCCCCCATGACATGAAGAATTTTCTCTGTTTTTTTTTTGTTCACCGTAGAGGAATGCGAGAAAAAGTGTTTTCTTCATGAATTCAAGGTAACCCGGGGTGTTGGAGGTGCTCCAAAATCACCCATATTCAGGATTTCCTTCTGCTATCCCAGTGGGTAAGGTATGATTGAGAAAAGAATGTGGTCAAGAATGTGGTCAAGGTTGAATGTCAGGAGGAGGTGGGTAACCATTTGTGGTCTTTGATGTCAAACTCACAAATTTTGTACACCTAACCATGAACCTGATGTCCTCCTTTCTGCTTTTCCAGCAATACAACATCATTTTTTTCTTTGCTACTGTAACGTGAGGGTTTGATTTTGTGGTGACTGGAAACAGCAGGATGGTGATGGATAACTCTCTCAAGCAACATTTTACAAAAGCTTCACAAGAACAACACTTCCTTGTTCCTGACTCATGTCACTGAGCGAACCAATCAGAGGCTACAAGGGCTTAAGCTGGCTAAATCAAATGGAAAAACACAGACGTAGATTCTGCAGATTATTCTAACTGTTTTAATGTCACTGATGAGAGTATTCAAACATGTAAATAATTCACTGTGTAGACATGGATATGTAAATAGTTCACAGCGTAGCTCACCAATAACTCAAATATATAAACTTCACTTCTGAACATTACAGCACTAAGGTTAACATTAAAAAAACAAAAATATTCAGGTGTTTTTTTTGTTTTGTTTTGTTTTGCTTTTTACTTATTTAACAAATCAGTCATAGAATTTTTCACTTACTGAATTTTTATAAACAAATTTAGGGGACAAAAAATTGCTGCACTTCAATGCCACTGCTCCAGTGAGTTCTGAAGCAATTTCAAGGCACCAGTAATTCTAAATATCCAGCACTTCCCAACATTATTTATAAGGAAAATTTTGCTTTTTTTAATGTCCAGTTTTGTTAACACAGCACAATTATTGAAACAGCAACCCACCAGTCAGTCACACCTACTGCATGTTGCAAATTTCTTACCTCTCTCCATCCATTCTCATATCCAAAGGCCCATCCTTGCTGAGGGCGAAGCCTCTCTCCGCCTGATCCATCTGCATGGAGGAGCAGCCAGCATCCAACAGGACAGCATCAATGCTGCCTGGCTTAATGTTCATGTTGGACAGCAGGGCGTCGAGCTCGCTGAATCGGCCAAGCAATGGTTTCACGCGGCCACTGGAGAAAGAATTAGGCAAAGGAATAACGCAATTTGATATTTGTGTGTCAATTCATATGGCTGCTGTCAAAACACTGTTGTTACATGATGGATTTGGAAAATAAATGCTGAATTATTTCAGTGATGTTGAGTATTTTAAAGGTTCAGTGAATTCAGCCCACTGGCAACATTTGGGAGGTTGTATTAAACTAATGATAACATGAGAAGACGGGGAAAATACTACACTTCATTGTGATGTCTGTGTGACTACGAGCTAGATACCTTTATCTTTATGTTTTTAGTTCAGCAGTTTATCAGTTGAATAAAACACACTTTAATACAATAAAATATCATAACAGTTTCAAAGGCATGTCAATGATTACAATTTTGACTCTGGAGTAGAAAACGCCTTTATAAATGTTTAAATTGTGGAGAGGAGAAAGTATTTCTAATATTCAGTTCCATATCTTACAAAAAAAAAAGATCTTAAGCCCAAACATGTGCTGAGTTCCTGAGTGATTTCTCTGGTAACAAGCTCAAATCTTACAGAATTAGTCCTTGACAAAATAATGCAATGCGGGAGGAAGAAGGGAGTTATGTAGTTGATAATAAAAAGTGGCTTCCTTTCAGTGATAATACAGGAAGATGGTTCCACAACTGGCTCAGTGAGTTCTGTAATAGGAAGAGAACACTTGGCAACTTCATGACTGCAAGATAATAAAGATGATTACGATGCTTTTCCATATTTCCTGTCCTACATGGAATATTGCAATGATTGGTGTTTATACTGAACATCTGCAAAGTTTCTAGTAATGAGGTAAACCAACACATTCTCACTCCGATCTCGACACATATCGACGTTTGGCCATGGAACTTTCACGTCCAGATACGACATGAGAGGTACCCTGGGTGCGTTGGTTGTTGACGTTCTGGGAAACTGTGTCAAGTTCTGCATGTTACATGCATCGTCTTCTTTCAAAATACACTTCCGTTTTCACAGGAAATTTACCTTTTACATACAGTCTATTTCAAAATAAAAGCACTACGTCAGTACAACAGCCTGAATTGACGATTTTTTTTCCTTCCACCCACCCTACTCTGACTTTTGCCGCCTTAACTTTCATTCATGTCCCGCTGCGTTTGCTCTGACGCCGCCAAGCCCCACTAAACTATAACGGCGATCGGCAGTGTATTATGCTGATATTAAAGGACGGCTTTTTTCGGCAGTGTCTGATGCTGCAAGTCACTGCCAAAGCACCAGATTTCGACGACTTTGGAGTGAGACCAAGTTGGGTAAACCTATGTAAAAAATTAGCAAAGACCTCACGTTTCAGACCGTTCTGAATACTCTGTTTACATTGACATTTCATGTCTTTAACTAAATGTGTACTGAAACTTTTTTGTACATTTCTGCTATTTACTAACAGTGGATGTCGGACATCATGTGAACCATGTTCTGTTTGACACTAAATAAAGTTAGAGGGGTAAAAAAAGAGAAAACCTCACGGGCACTGGACGTCAACATGGCATAAGAAAGATGTTGGACAGATGTTGAAGGTTGTTTGGAATAAACATCAAGTTGGCAAAATTTGTAATGTTGGGGCGTCGGTAGTGTAGGGGATAGTGCCGACGCCCCATGTACAGAGGCATTGCCTCGCTACAGCGGTCACGGGTTCGAGTCCAGCCTGCAACCCTTTGCTGCGTGTCAGTCCCCACTCTCTCTCTCTGTCTCCCCATTTCACACACTGTCCTATCCATTAAAGGCAAAAGCCCACAAAAATAATCTTGAAAAATTGTAATGTTCACATGTTCACCGACATTAGAATTTCAGACTGTGTGGACAATAACATTATGACATTTTGTACTCGTTGGGTTTTGGTCTCCAGACCTGATGCTATATCAAGATCACACTGGCACGAGATGACTGATAGATGTTAGATTCTGGATACTTAACAACACAACTTAAAACAAAGTGTCAGCTGTCCATAGTATTCTACATCAAATTGATAATGGCTTCTCATAGAAAATGAATGGAAGCTGGCGGCTTCACCAAGCATGCCACATTCTGTGTTTCTACACCCAGTTACACGCAACTGCTACTGAATGGGAAAGCAAAGTCCCCTCTTCAGTTAATGGGAAATATTGACACTTTTCCATGTTTCACAACATCATACACACATTGTGAAGAAGAAACACATGCCCTCAACATCCGGAAAGTCAAGGTTATGTTAAGCCACAGATGGGACCAAGTCACACATGTGCAAGTCTCAAGTAAGTCTCAAGTCTTAACCTTCAAGTCTCAAGTAAGTCCCAAGTCATTTTTTCTTGGGCAAGTCAAGTCACAGGTTATGTCAAGTCAAGTCCAAGTCAAGTCACCTTATTATTGTAATTTTACCTGCAGAATCTGACCTTAATAAAGTGAAAAGACAAGATATAAGTAACTGTCAGTAAACATTGACTTCATCGTTGCAATGTTTACTTTGCAGGGATGACCCCCATGCATGCGCGTGCGCGCACACACACACACACACACACACACACACACACACACTAACCAAGGCAGTGGCCAAAATCACCCATTTAGCTCATTTAACCCTGTGTTGCTCGTTCAAAAAATGTACAGCGGGTCTTGTGATGAACCGGTCAGAATGTTCGCTCACGTTTTCTGGGGTTAATGTTAGCAAATAAATTAAAAAACAAGTTCCACCAAACCAACCCACCCACCCCACCCCCGTATCGTATCAAGCTAACGTTAGCTAACTACCGACTAACCAGAAAATATTAGCTAACTGACAAGCACTTACTGGGCAGAATGGCTCTTCAAATGACAAACAAAGTTTGAAGTTGTCGCCTGGCTGTCCGAGATGTTTATGCCGCATGTCTTGCACTGTGCTGTCTTTTGCCGTCATAATGGTAATTCTGAAAGCCGAAGAAGATGACTCGAGGTACCCCTCCCGCTGACAGCCTATCTGATATAAGAGGGCCTGTTTCTCCAATAAACACGTAAGGTACATAGAGAGGGCATGACTGATTGACAGGATAGTGATCCAATTATGACAACGCCATTCTCAGCCTGCGCTCCTACCGGGTAATCAACATTATTTTTAAAACTAATTTATTAATTTTATATTCTAACCAAAAACATGATGTGAATAACACTCAAGTCATTCAAGTCATTGTGTCTCAAGTCAAGTCAAGTCCTGAGTCTTTAACTTCCAAGTCCGAGTCAAGTCTCAAGTCTTTTAATTTTTTTCAAGTCAAGTCACAAGTCATCAAAACAGTGACTCGAGTCGACTCGAGTCCAAGTCACAATGACTCGAGTCCCCATCTCTGTGTTAAGCAGGTCATGTGGAGACCACTTCAGGTTCACGATTCAAATTTATCCCACTATGACTCGAGAAGCTTTCCAGTCAACCTTTTAAAACTGAATCAGGTGTTTCCTTGGAAGCCCACTAACTGTGGCAGCTGATCTATTGAGATCCTTCCCTTCCACTGATAGAGCAAGACCCTGTGTACACAGTCACTTCCTCATGCACGAGTGGTGAGATCCTCCAGCCACATTCATGCATTTTTCATGTGACCTTTTAACATTGTGTGAACAAAGATGATGGCAGAGCAGAGCAACAGGAGCTAGCATCTATACATTAGGAGCAAAAAGGGTTTCTGCAGCCTTCTTCAACCAGTCGTTTTTAGTGAATTATTACTCATGAAATAAAAGCAACTGCTATTGGTATATCACGTCACTCATGCACTCATTTAATGACATGCATTTCCAGTTTGCCAACAGGTAAATAAGCATCTTCCCATTGTGTAGCCATTCATTATGACACGAGTGTCGTGGTCCTGTTTACGTTCCATCGACTGGTGGACACAAGTTTAAATGAATGAAAGAGTGGGGAAACATTAGCACAGAGTTGAATAAAATTGCAGCGTGCAGCATGTCCACCTCCCCAAGACCAATTTGTGAGGTTCTCTAGGACTGCCCCTGAAAGTCGAGGATTGAAATCCTAAGTCAGAGGTCACTCAGTTCACTAAGATTTAAGTCAAGTCGAGCAGTTTTGTTAGTCAGTCAGTGTGCAGGGCACTTCTGGGGACATTTCAGCCCCCAGATTTAGCTGCAATGTGAGCGTTACTCGTTTTCACGCTGCTCTCTGCTGCAGGCAGCTGCAGACCCACACCCAGGATGAGTCGTAGTGAGACAGAGGCAGCTGCCCGGAAGAAAAGAGACTTTGCTCAGTCAGTCTCCAAGATAACATTATCCTCTCTCTTCTGCTTAGATGAGGCGATTTTACATCTCACATCGATAAAAACTTTCTGACTCTCTGACTTTAGTTTGATATCTAGTGTCGGAAAAAAATGTTGCACATTTCTGATCTGTCTTTAGCCTAGCTAGCACGCATTAGCTCAGAGGGCTTACTTGGCTCATGAATGTGTAGTTGAATATTCATATTGAACAATCAAATCTGTTTCGACTGACACTTCTGAATCGGCTACAGCCCTAACATTCTCTTTCGCTCAGAATAACACGGCAAGTTCAGCTCATGTCAGGGTAGCAGTTGTTCGCTTTATCGTACAAAAGAAAATTTATAGCTATAACCTGAAAGCCACACTTGGGTAAAAGTACAGATTTCTTACCAGAAAATCTGGTAGAAGTTAAAATCACCTATTAGAATATGACTTGAGTAAAAGTCCTAAAGTATCTGATATGTACTGTACTTGAGTATCAAAGACTTGCCATGGTATGAACAGTGGTCACATGAGCCTCAAAACCAGCAACAACTTAGCCGTGAGCAAGAGTGACTGTCTGCTATTGACCAATCAACAGACTGCAGTGTTCACAGCTCCACGCAACTACAAGGCTGCAGTCAGAAGCCATGTAAAGGTATCAACTGCTATTAGCTTCTAATTCGTAATTGCTCTATTGTTCCTCTATAGTGTCATTTAATTGAGTTTAGTTTATGTGTAGAAAAGCAGCACCAAAGACTGACTTTAATCATTGCTTCAAGCACTGTAGCGATAC